TTTACTCTCTCAAGTTGTTCCAGACCTGCACGAGTTTCTTTCTTCTACTGACCACAAAAGAAGATTTTTGGAAGAATGTTGGAAACCAAACATTTGCCGGTAGCCATTGACTTCCATACTTTGGAAGCCAATGGCTACCAGCAACCGTTTGGTAAACTATCCCTTTAATATTAATGTAAATAATATGTAAATAATACAAAAAAAAATCCATTTCCTGTTTGTTTTTCAGGGCATATTAATTTTTTTCTTCCACATCGTGTTCAGTAAAGAGGTGAGGAAAAATCTGAAAAACGTATTCACAGGGAAGAAACCATTACCTGATGACTCCAGTGCCACACGCACCACCCTACTGACGGTAAGTTACCGTAACACCTTTACATTATTAAATACTTATACAATAACTGTCCATCACAGATCTGGAAACAGTGGTTAGGATCGGTTTAAATGTCAGTTTATCTTGTAGAATATTAATAAGGAAGTCATTTAAGTAATTTGCAAGCAATAAGAAGGTAATTTCACGTAATTTGGTATCAAAGGATGAAGTTCGCTGTGAAGTGGTCTAGCATTTGGAAATGTATTATTTTGCTTGATTTACAGTACTGTGCTCTTTCTCTGTCCTTAGCGTACACTGAACTGTAATAACACATACATGGAGGACGGCACACTGTACCGCTCGGCCATCGGTGAATCGACGGTCTCCCTGGAGAGCACAGTCAGGTCAGCCAAGAGTCACAGCAGCTATCTTACTTACACGCACAGGTAACATGCTACTGCTGGGGCACGGCGCTACGCTCTCATTATGTAACATTTCACTTTCTCTCATCCTACTTGACTTTTCTCAATAATGCAATAGCACTTTAATGACTTTCTTCTTATTCAAATTACTTTTCTCTTTTCATACGCATGTATGCATTGCTTCTGCTTTGCTTTTGCTGTGCTGCGATAATGTAGACAAACTCTAAAACACATTCCTGCATGCATTCCCATGAATGTTGTGTAAGCATATTTATTGTATACACTGAAGGCAACCTTATGACCTCTGTGCATGCTCTGTTTATAGATTCAGTTCATTAGTAATTTTCAAAGCACTTATCCTTATATGTAAATAATGTGAATTTGTTGACAGGATTCAGTATTATGATGTGTGCTTGTACATTATGATGCATTATGATGTATGCATGTCTTGTGAGCACAAATCGCCCTGCAAGTTTGTTGTTAG